GTACACTGGGTTTGAGGATGATTGTCACAGAGAGCGTAAGACATCTCTGCCATCCTGTGCAACAACCAAGAGAGGCTGCACTTGCCTCTAAAGTTCTGTCCATTTGTTTGCATGAAGATGAAAACAAGCTCCAAAGCAACAAGAAGATCCCTGAAAACACTCAGCACAGGGCTGAGATTAATTAGCTACTATCGTCTACCCCACAAGCTTCATTAGCTCAGCTCAGCACCACTGTGACTTTGTTCATGCACTTTATGAGCTTAATGCAAAGCAATCTTGTGCCTGTCCACAAGATGCAGAGGCTACTTTTAATAACCTAAGCGCATCCTCTGATGCGGTCCCCCYGAAATCAGAGGCATCCTTTCTGCTGCCTCTGGTGGGAAACAGATCTGCCACAAAGTTCATTTCTCCATCAGAGACAGGGGTACACAGCTGTGTTCCTTGGTTGTGTGTGAAATAACAAACGTCCTGGAGTGTAATCAAATGAAACTGGTCCAGAGCAAATAATATTAAATGATGGAAGCCCAACAGTCATAAAGGAGAAGGACAGAGCTGACAGCAGCTGTAATAGCAACAGCAACCACGGCTGTGAGTACGGCACAAGGAGGGCTGACTTTCAACTTCGACTTATCRAAACTTCAACTTAATCAAGTAAGATCAAGAGAGTGGCTGTGGCTGCCTCTCTGTCAGTGGATAAAAGCCAGGAGTATTTCATTTCTTGTCATGTTCTCAGAGGGAAGTTGTATTTCAGCACAACTGACGGGCCCTTGTAAAAAGGGTGGGGAAGAGCCAGGCTGCAAATAGAAGTGGTCCAAAGCCAGGAAACTACGTTCTGCAGTCCCCAAAAGCTGCAGAGGGGGAATGGAGGTCGCTCGTCACCATGTGCTCCCAAAAGGGCACTGGGTACATACTCGGCACTGTTGGTTCTGCAGGGGGTCTCTTCACCCCTTTCCCAAAAGACAGCCACTCAGAGGCCATCGCGTGAAGACTGGAGTTCTGTATGAGTCAAGGTCGAAGGCCATCAGAAGACCTCAGTTCTGCACATCCCTGTTTAAAAGATGCCACCACACAACCCTTTCTCGGGTATATCCCTTTCTCAGTGTAAATTCAAAAGGAACAGCATATGTTTTCCTACAAGTAAGTGATTCTGGCTAGGGAATGAATAATCGCACTTCACTCTGATTGACCTTGAGATCCACTATAAAAGATTTTCGGTTCCTCACAAATTCCACATCCAGGAGAATTCACATCCACTCCCTGAGGGAGACAACAGCAATGGTGATGAGTGACTCTCGGAAATGGGGAGCCCATCTGTCAACCAGAGACCCCTGAGAAGTGAGGATCCCAAAGCTGAGATTGCACCACAGGGCTTCCAAAAGCCTTCCAAGACTTCTGCCTAAAGTGATGGTTTGGCTTCAGAAGGATCAGTGAAGGAGCTGAGGAACAGGGGGAATTATATTAATCATGCCATACGCGGTCCAGGCCTCATACGGAAACATGTGCCTTTGAGATAAAAGTGCAAATTAACCTTAGTCTCAGGGCAAGAGCTCCTGTTGCTTTCCCCAGTAGAGATGATTAAGAGATACACAGAAGAATGTGCATAAGGAAGCTCCCACAGTGCATGATCACCTCGTCTCTGCTGCCATCTCCTCCTTATCCATGCGCTTCATCACTGCAGATAATATGCCAGCAGTGAAATACTACCTACTGTTATCTAACAAATATACATTTGGTGTGCCTACAATTTCATATCAAAAGCTGTAATTTGGTCTTATAAAATGGCTCTCTGAATATACTCTGAGCAAAAATAAATCTTCTCCTCCCAAAAATCTATTTTCATTTCATGACTTCGTAAAGAATATGGCATTCCTTTGGGGCTGGGTAATTTTTCCTCTTTCCCACATTTACAGTAATTTTTTCAAGTCCATGTTAGTCCTCAAAGAGTATGTGGGCATGCTACCAAAAATGCACACCTCAAACATTACCTCACTGTGTCCTTTATCTACAGAATTTATAAAACAATGAAAAATTCTGCTATATAAGTTCCAGAGGTTTTAGAAAGCTGCCATCTGTTCTTTAAACTTAATTTATACCTATACACAATGACTTGCTTATTTCAGTCAAGTCAGTTCCTAAACTTATAAACTTATACTCAAATGACTCATACCCTACAATTTGCATTTGCATATAGTTATATCAAATCTCTACTTTAGCTGTACAAACACGGACACTCCACCAGTTTTCCTTTTTTGTCTGGCTACTTGCCTATAGAGGCTGTTTTTTTTTTCTTCTACAGAAAATCCCAATTGAATCCCAATAAAATTCTCCACATTCCTCTTTATCTGTATTTCATGAAATTAGGCTTCATGGAGAATGAAAAGGAAGCACTGTAAATTATTTATTTAGTACTTTTAATGAGCTTCTAGAAAAAATATCATTGGCACTAACTTATTCCACTCAACTTAGAGGTTATCATATTATTTGCTATTCTACACTGACAATCTCAACACTTTTTTTTCTGAAATATATGCATTAAGAAAATTTCTTTCTGATTAAAGAATGTATGAACCTGGCTGGTCCCTAACACAGACTGCGTTGAAGAACCACAGAGGAGCTTCAGCTAAAAAGGAGCTCTGGACATCATCYAGCCTTGGGTGTCCCTCTACCCCCTTGCTCCATGGAGCTCTACTTAAGTAAAACTAGGTTCTCCAGTCAGTTGGGCCCTTTAGCACAGCCATGGTTCTAAGCAGAGACCAAAGTTAATGCACAGGCCTCCTGCAGATATCCTGTACCTTATTCCACGCATATGATACATTCCCTTACAAAATGGGCACATAGTTATCCTCAAAAAGATAATAATCAATACTGTATTTCTATCTGCTTTAGCAGTAACAAGGACTGAGATACGATCCCGAGGTGCTTGTAGTAAATTTTGTTCTGTGTTATGGATTGGTATGCTATGGATTAGTAGGCTATCAGCTCGCTGTAAATCTTACTGCACTGAAAAAATATATGTATTAATTAGCTTCATAAAATTAAGAAAAAAAACGGTGAAGCTTAGCTGAGAATCTGATTCTCACATGTTTGTCTTGTATTGCTCATCATGCTTCCTTCACAAACACAGAAGCTTCTCTAGGGCACATACACTATCATTCAAGTGCAATTAATTCTGATCAGGTACTCACTGATTTACGTGCTCCTGGGTGTTGATTAGATAGAAGATTAATCTGTTTTGAATTAAATGATCAGATTACATTAGACTATTTCATGCCATTCATCACATTAGAAAATGAAAAGGGTTACCCTAGAAGAAACAGACTCACGCACATACTGAATGTCATGTGCTCTGATATGAAATGTTGCAGGTCCACCTGAGCTACTGCCAGGACAATCTACCATCAAAGCCATTATCCAGTTTTCTTCTCATCTATTGTTCTTTCACCAAAATAGCAGTCATGGAAATTAATGAAGATAAACGGACTTATCAGGCAGAGAGAATTCCCCCAAACCATTAAAAGTATGATGTTGTCACACTTGAAAACAACTTTGTTTTCTCTCCTGTTATCCTTGAAAACTCCTGTTCACCTCAGGACTACTTGTGCTACATGTATTAAGCACAAGGAACAGGGCAGCGCTTTGGCTGGGTGTTCCAAGCTAGGAGCTGTCTCATGGGTGTCAGGGACAATGGGCACCATGTCTCTGCTGATGACTTGGTCAATACCCATTGCCCAAAATGCAAGAGGAAAGTGCAATGCCGTGCGCTGCAGGAACCTGCTTACCAAGGAATAACTCCTCTTGGCTTTCCTGGGAGGTGGGAGGAAGCACTCAGGTCCCTATTAATCCACACAAATGTTTGTCATACTTGCCAAGACGCAGACTCAAAGGAAAACAAGCTCCGACCAAGCTCATAGCCTTCAGTGGCGATCTCGATGATTTAATTAAAAGCGAAAAGTTTCCTTCCATAGCCAGCAGGCAGCTGAAAGTATCGGACAGTTAACGAGAAGAGGAAAACAAGGATATTTTTAAAATCATCTGCATATAGTTTAACAAGTTGTATCAAAAGGAGACCAAATCAAATACTGAAATTCAAACTGGGCTCAAACCAGAAATTTCTTTCCTTCAGTTTAATCTGTGTTGCCTGAGGTCTTTCTGCCATACTGTTTGAGCTATGGCTGGAAACATCAAGTCAAAAAAACTAATGATGTTTTCAACATCCTGTATCAAATAGGAGTATTATTCTTATAAAAAAGAGCACATTCTTCTGGGGCACAGACTCCTTATTTTGGGCTCACACATCTAAAACTTTATGYACTTATCAGTAGCAAACAGAGCCACCTGAAGCTTGTCTGCTTCTTGCACAGAGGTAAACAAAATTAAACCATTACATTCCAGATGCTACATTTTTTTTTTTTTTTTGTCCTACCCTCTACATGAGGGGAAAAAAATGGGCCCACAGCTCTCGTGAAGAATACAGAGGTTACTGGAGCCAAATTGAACCACTGAAACACCTCTCTGTCACTCACACATTTCTTTGTCAAGYAGAGGCCTTTTCTCCTCAGGCAACCAGAGGAGAAAAGAGAGGACATAACTCAAGCCTTGATTAGCTGAAGGAACAAATATGCTGTTTTCTCTCGAGTAGAATGAAGTTGGGTGCCCTTGTGTGACACTGATCTCATAAYACCAGTTCTCTTCCCAAATGCTTGAATGCACAGGAAAAAAAATTGGTTTTAACCCTTTATGATACAATAGGTGCCAGACACTGTTAGGTTTCACCAATGTAATTTCTAAAAGGGCTAAGATGCTTTGGAAAACAGGAGAGAGTCCCCTGGACAGATACTCTCTCCAGATGCCCATTTGTTTTTTAATTTTGTGTGGAGGAATTGTGTACAACTGCCACTAGCCAGGTCAAAGTAGGAATGGGATTACCTCCAAAAACACTGGAAATGGCAATGATCATATTTAAGAGAGAAAAAAGATACTTCAGCCAGGACTGAGCTATGTGTTCTATATTCTGTACAGTCATCATGCACAATACCATACCTTCAGCAGGCCAAGTTGGCTCCAGACACTCTTCTGATCAATGTGGTCCCTATATGTCCTGTACACTTAAATGCTCTTTTCTGCTGCAGATCACAACTTCCAAAAGATCTGTCTCCATAGAGATACCTGAAAGAGATTATTTGCTACTAGCAGGAACTCAAAATGCAAGCAAATAGTTCACGTAAGTCTTGCAGAACGGATAGAGGGCCTAGCCAAAACCAAAGTGAGGTTTAACAACTCCCTTCTTTGGATGACTACTAAGCAGCTCTCATTCTTGTACAGATAACATTTGCTCAGAGACCTTAATGGGAGTGGGAATACCTGGAGAAGTTTAACATGGTTTGGAGCGACAGAGAAGGGTTACTCAGTTACTGCTACTCCAGGAAAAGACTGCTTTGGTTCTCCTGAGCAGCTGCAGGTCCTCCTACCTGGCAAAGGCAAAAGCCTAGGACAGGAAGAGACATAGGTTAGCTCTGCGATGTTAGGGATAAGTGAGAATCTGCAGTGAAAAGGTTAAATTCTTCTTGATAGTGGATGGTGAAGACGGTGGCTGACAGGTAATGGATAAGGATTAATAGTTTAAAAATACAAAACACCCTAAAAGAAACACTGAGAAGCTCTTTTACAGTAACTCAGATATGACAAAACACATATGTTATCTCATCTAGAATATCAGGGGGATCAACAGTTTCTAAAGAAGAGTAAAACCTTCAGTCAGCAGCAAACTGTGCTGCTCTAAAATGGCTAAACACAAGCAGGGAGCGCATCTCGGCCACGGGTGACAGGGGTTCAGCTTTGCCCACCCTTCCCATGCCTGGCTGACTCCAGGTGAGGGCCTTTCCTCCCASTGCACATTAGCTCATGTGCAATGAGGGCTTCTCAGCTGACCTGCTGCTCCTCATTAACCAGAATGAAAGGCCTTACACTTCAAATGATCTCCAAATTATTAGTCACCTCTCTTCCTTGTTCAGGATCAGCTGAGTTCAGTTGTGATGACTCACTCAATATCTYTCTTCAGTCCTTGCAGACGACAAGGTTTTAAAGTTATGCAAGTATTCCGGGAGATATCCGTAGGATTTTTAAATGTGCAGATCAAAATTACATACGAACTGCCACTTAAAGCCCTAAAACAACAAAAAATAGTACTTGCAAACAGGAAAGTTCTGATAATCGAAGAGTCTAAATGGCTTCAGAAAGCTGGCCCACAAGATCTAGATTATATGTCCTACATGAAATCCATACYGGGGTCCAGGCATTACAGGCTACTGTCACTCTTCTAAATAACTTCTTCATAACTTCTAAATATGTAAACTGTCTTCATTTTGACTTGGAAAAAACACCCAAAGTTAGATTTTCTTAAGTGCTCTGTTTCTTGCAATTGTGAAGTGCTGAATAAAGATGACACTTAAGAATTATACTTCTACAGAGGAGTTTCTATCTAGCAGCTATTCTTACACCTGTGTAATATCTCATTTTCTTAGCAGCTGATTAGTATCCATTCTGTTGAACGGGGATACACTCAGTGACACTCCTCTGATAGCAAGAWATACAGAGGAGATAAAAGAAAATAATATATTACTGGCAATGCTCAGAACACTGTTAAAAGCGCGTATTCAGTACCTACCTATCTTTTATGTATACAGATGTCTGCGGTGACAAATAGCCTATTATAGCATGTGATTGACTTAAAATATAAAACAAAAATGCAGACAGAATACCAAATAAGCCCAGAACCATTTATTATTAAGATTTTCTACTATTCCTCCTATCTTACACGTTTCCAGACTATCCATAGGGGAAAGAAAGCTAGGGAAGAAAACAACATAGTCTTAATACAGATCCAGTGAAGAACAGGAGCTACCCTAATTACAAATTTCTCAGGTAATTCAATCCACAAATGATGGGATTTGGATTTGCCACTAACGTGGAGGTGATTAGGATTTCTAGGTTCTTCTCAAGCAGCACCAAGTGGCCTCATCRCTATGGCCTGGTCAGAAGAGAAGGCAAAGAGGAGATGATAACAGAGACGAGTTACACCGGTGCACACCGGGGCACCACACAGGCTAAAAGCTTCATTCAAAAGTTGGGAGCTTATTTTCTGCCCTCCTATGTTCAAGGACACTAATATACATGCATAACACCTTCAATAATGAGCGATGTGAGCAAAAATGCTCATAGCTGTTAGGGAAAAACCTCTGAGCTCYATCTTCGATGTCTATGTGCTTTTCAATGGAGCCAGCTCTGTCCTCAGTGTCACAATTTCATGAGAGTTTGCTGACTAGGAACCTGCAAGTTCGGCATCTGAATTCACCGAGAGGGCAATCTCAGACACTGTGGGGCTATGGTTATGGTTTGACCTGGAATCAGAGTGTGGGTCTCTTGAACTGTTTTACAGCAAATTCTCAGCAGTTACTTCCCAAAATGTTATAGCTCTATATGCTATAGAACTGTAAAGGAGCAAACAGAAAGAGTCTTGTTAGAGCTGTGCTCTCCACTTACTGGTGAATTATCTGCAGTTTGGTGGCAATACTCACTGGAGAGAGTTATACAAAAAGTACACGGCTTTAAGGACATTATTTTCAAAATACCTGTGTTCATTAGTTCCTGAAGCTCTCAGTAAAAGTTAACCGGAGTTACTTTTGACCGAGTATTTTCAGTCTCCCCACCCTAATTCTTCATGGACTTAAGACAACCATAAACTCTCCTCCTTCGACAGATGATTTTATAATTACCCATGTGAGATTTTTTGCATCTTTTGGGGGGAACATTAGCTACCCACACTGCCAGAGATGAGATACAGGTCACATATTACTGATCTTATCCAAGATCACAGTGCCCCTGCAATCCAGCAGGTAATAATTCTTTTCATCTGTTTTATTCATTTCACCTAATCAATCAATTCAAGAAAGCTCCCTGAATTTTTTGTATCTATCATTCAGATGGGCAGGCAAAACATATTWAGCTCCCTTAATATTTTTTCACATGTCAAGTTATCAATCTCCCTAGTCTGTTCATCATTTTTCTTGCTCTTCTGTGAATACCTGCTGCCTCTCCCAACTCCTTGCAGCTCTAAAGTGCTCAGATGAGAACACAGCATTTCAGCTGCACTCTTTCAAGACAGAAAAAGAAATTCCAGGCATTCCAAATTGTAATGATTTCGCCCGTGAAATCAGCCAAGTCCTGATGCAAGGAAACAGGATAGGCTCAATCAGAATTACCAGAGATAGGGGACTATCATTAGCCATGTAAAACCACTCAACTTGTGCATTAAAACTGTGCCCCAGTGTTAGGAGGGGAGATAGAGATACTCTTTTGCCATAGAACACAGCAATTCCCCTCAACTTCCCCAATTTTGCTTTCCAAACCTGCTCTGGCAAGATGCAGAGGAGTACAAAATTCACAAATATCTTTGCAAGGTTGCTAGTGACTATTTATCATTTTGATTGCAAGACCTCCTACTTCTAAACTTTTACTGCAGGAGAGGAGGAGGGGAGAGTAGGTTTTAAAACAATTGAAAAAAAATAAAGGTAAACATCTGTGATGATCAAAAYGATAGCAGCAGTCCTATAATTTCTACAGAAACCACTTTAACCATCCTGTGCTTTCCAATTCTTGCAGCATACAATTTTGCCCAAGTCATTTGGCATTGTCTTCTGGAATTTAGACTGTCTCTCAGTGATGCAGGAAGCTCACAGTCTATTAAAAAAACGGATTTGCACGTGTCATTCACCTATGCTGTTCACTGTAACAATGTGGAAAGTTTCCTTTTTCACTCTCTCAGAAAACTTCATTAAATCCTTGCTGGACCTGCCCTGGATATGAAGCAAATCACAAACATYGATTAGGTCCCAGCCTACTGTGACAGCAGCAAGAAACCCCCAGCTACACAAGTGCATCATAACCCCCTGGATTGCCAAGGGCCCATCAGCCCAGGAGAGCCCTGCTCCAAAAGCAGCTCTGAGAGACTAGCTAAGCCTCTGCCTGGGCTCAGAAAGAAGTATTGATGTGAGGCTTAAACCATCTTGCAGTTGGATTTTTGTTTTCCTGGCACTGAGCTGCAAATCCCTTGCCAATGCCAGTACCTCCTTCCTCATCAGCTGCACACACACCTTTGCCTCCTTTCTGAATCTAGRTTCTCACTAGATTCACCACCAGAACAAACCAGTCTTTTCATGAGGTATGAGATGCAAACCTTTTTGGGTTGAGCTGATGCTTTGAGCAACGAGTTTAGAGGGGAAACTCTGCTTTTCCTCAAGCTAAATAAACCTCAGCACCAAACATTAGCCTAACCTCTTCTGGCACAAGGTGAAGTTCATGAACCACTCCTTTTAACCTTGTGTTCACCCAAAGCTTTAAAAATCATTGCATCCTTTCTACYTAAGTAGTATTCAGAGATACAAAAAGGACCTCTCTCCCATTACCAGCTACCTGAGCCATAATCCTCTGTGATACATCCTTGCATGTGTAAGGTTGTTTCCAGATGTCCATGTCTCTACTTCTTTAACTTAAAATATTTGTCAAACAGGAGCAATTTTCTACTTATAAAGAAGATAATTAGTACAGTAGCCTGTCATTCTGTCACATTGGCTTGAGAAACAATAGAGCAGACTAACAAGTTGTTAATTGGCTGATACTGTCAGCAGCAATTTCATAGTGCTAATGGACCAAGAAAACATTAAAAAGTTGCTTTGATCAGGCTACAGAAAAATTAAGCAAAATGAGCTCATCAGTTTGCAAGTTGAAGAGTATTGTCCTAAAGAAGATAATATTTTCAACGGAGGGTTAATGAATACTGCTTTTGTACATATTGCAGAGGTACTCTAGCAASAGAGAAAAAGCTCCTAATGAATCTGGACATTACTGAAAAACATCAGAAAATTTGTGCATTAGAATACAAATGATGAAGATTAAGGGTACAATACAAGAGAACCTTGTAGGAAYAGCTGCATCTACTAGCAAGATACTCTAAAAACTATCCCAGCGTAAGAGCTTATGACCAAAAGTTGCCAACAAATATCGAAGATGGACTTGAAATATGACCAATGTCTCCTCAATCGCCAAAGATCACTTAGAAAAGAAGGCAAACAGCACATAGCACACCCTTCAGTTACAAACAATTAAGCAAGAAGAGACAAGATAATAAGGGTAATTATTAACATTTGCACTAAGCTAGGATTATAAGAATTAGCAGCATTAATTTTGTTACTGTCAGTTAATGCACCTCTGGATAGATTTTAAATGGACGGGTAGTGGCAAGGTCAGCAATCAGTGTGAAAGTAGCATATTTGCCAAACCAATGAGAAAGAAATAAAACGTTAGGTACAGGACACACATTAGTGAATTGCTCTGAAAAGTACTGTAGCATTCACTTTTTCTCAGGAGAAAAATGAAATCAAGAGAGAGAAGCATTTAGCAGTGTATAAATAGCACTCACAGAGTTGGAAGTATTGGGATACAAAAGTGTACATGAGCTAAAATTCTCTTTTTCATTATCAAGGCCTTGCTATGTCTTCATATCTCCCTAAAAAGCTAAAATAAAAGCTGCCAAATACTTATACTTGAAAACTTGACTCCTGCCACAGCTTGATCAGCTCAGTGAATGAGCTGATCTTTCACTTCAGTTGTTCTCCTTCAAGGCTCCTGACCCTGCAAGGAAAACAAGAAAAGCAAAACCATCTCCATGCAATCCCACTGCAAAAACACAGCACAGATATCGTGAGCTGCCTCCCAGAAACTAATAGACTGCCTCCAGAAAYTAAAAATTGAGCTCTGATTTTTTAGACCTCCTAAATCACTCGGGCATGGATCCTCCATACTGCACAAGAGTACTTTTAATTGCTAAAACATGTCAGGGCACAAAGAGCAAGTGAACACAAAATTCTGCAGTTTGGTGGGGCTGCCCAATCTAAAGAGCAATCCATGCAGTACTAGTTACTGCAGAAACAYAACATTCAAGAGCTTTTAATCTCCTCCTGACTTTTGCAGCGAGTTTTCCCCTGGGAAAGCACCCACAGAGCCCACTGCAAAGGGAAAGCTGAAGGTAGCTGCAATTGCAGCCCAGGGCCCCACGTGTTGG